TAGAAATATTGTTGAGCAGTTACCGGAGATCTCAGCACGCCTCTGGCCCGTTGGGCCGGCGAATTCCTCCTCCTCATCCTCCACCTCATCCCCCCCTCCAACTTACGGTTGTGATGGTGGTGGAAAACAGGCCCATCATTTAGCGCCGCGGCCGCGCGCAGCGACTCGGAGTCGGGCGCGGCCGGCGAGTGTACCAAGCAAAGCTCGTAGAGAGCCTTGAGACGGGTATCAGTGCAAACGGGGGTCAGCCAGATCGCAGGATCTCGCAGGATCTTGCAGTGTCAAGGTTGCATTGGCCCGGGCTTGCGTGCAGGATCTAGCAGCATCCTGCAAAGCCGGACTGACCCGGGTGTGCATTGATTCGGGTCAGTGCGTCCCCGTGCTCGCTTTTGGAGTGTCTCTGCCGTTGCTCGACTGGCGCCTGACTCTTCTCGCGCCCGCTGACCAGCAAAGAAACCCGAGCTAAGAGCGCGCCTCACTTCTGAGGCCTCACGGATGGCGTCAGAGTAGATGGGGTTGGAGGGTTGCGCTGCATCGCCTTTGCATCTCCGATGCGGCTCGATGTCTAGCCCAAATTGATCCGCGCTGGCGTCGCCGATGCACCGCCGACGTCGTCGATGCGGCGAGATCCTGCGACCCCATCTATTCGGACACCATCTAGGAGGCCTCTATCACTCTCACCCTCACGCAGCCCTAGCCAGGAAGCGTAGAGCTCACCCATAGGAGACCACGCTACGCATAGACTCTCGGAGGAGGCAGGGGACCGCACGCATACATATATTTCTGTGTTGTCAGCGGCCGGCTGATCCAACAAAGCGAGGCGCTAGGGCGGGACACGCTTAGGTCTATACCACCAGGCGTTGCAGGTGGGGGCTCAGGACGTGGCTGCCGCTTGCAGTGAGAAGCAAGGGGCCGGAACCAGTACACGTGAAAGATGCCGAAGCCATGCAGAGCGGCGTGAAGAACCGCACGTAAAGTGTAAGAACAGGCCCAGAAGGCACCATTAAACGCGACGTACTACAGAGTGCGAGACAGGCGAAAAGGGTTAAAAAGGACAGTATTGCTGTGGCGGGAGTGCTTCCAGCTGTAAGGGCGGTGGGTGCGCGCAGGCCGTAGGAGAAAAACCGGGCCCGGCAGCGGGGAAGCCCAGGTGTAAGGCATGCCGCTGAGCTGTGTGCCGTTGGCGTCTCGCTCTACGCCGCACAGGGGGCAAAAAAGAAGCACGGCCCCCAGAACCAGAACCAGAACCGCACGCGCACGCGCACACGCACACGCACACGTACACTCACGCACAAACGCACACACGCACAAACGCCCCACACACACACACACACACACGTTCCTCCTCTGGTGAGGTGATGGTACCGCCGTCGCGAAAGATAGGAAGAGGCGCTAACTGTCGCAACAATTTACCACCCAGCATCGCAACCGTGGTCGAAGGCGGAGACCACAGGCCAGCGTATCCACGCACACACACACACACAAACATACACGCGCGCGCACGCGCACGCGCACGCGCACACGAACACGCACACACACGCACACACACGCGAAGCACAAGGGAGGGAGGTGGAGGAGACAGTGTGCACATTGGGCCTAGCACCAGCAGAACGTATACCTCTATGTGACCCTTGTAATACTTAGTTGTTGCCGTTGTAGCCTTCTCTCCAGCTCGGGCTTAGCCTTCGCGGAGCGTAGGTCTTCAGGCGGGCCCCTCGTGCCATTGTAGTGTTCTCTCCAGCTTGCTCTGCCTCGTAAGTATCGTAGGCGCCGTAGCCGCCGCAGGCGATGCAATTAGATACTTGTGTCCTTCGCCTCGAAGTCGTCGTAGGCGCTGCAGTCTCCTCTCCTGCTTTCTCTGTCTCGTACGCAGCTGCGGTTGCCGCCGTAGACGTCGGCTTTGTAGCCGTCCTCCGTTCTGCTGCGCCTCGTAGCCATCCCGCCCTGCCCATTCTCCTCCTCATCGCTTTTACTTCTGTGTTTTGTGCAGTCGTGGAGCTGAGCCTGTGGAGTCTGCTCTCCTGCCTTTTCCTTTTTGGCAGCCTCCGGAAGACTCCAGAAACACCCGGAAACCACCGAAGAGCACAGAAAGGATGCCAAAGGGTTGGAAAGCTCCCAGCAGCCGCCGAGAGCCCTGTCCTCCTCCTGCTCAGGCAGCTGGAGGCCCTTGCCATGCAACCTGCGATCAGGCGCTCGTTGGTCTTGGGCTCGTTTGCGTGACCAGTTGCCCCTCCTTGAAGAGCTGATTGCTGATTGCCGCTCTGGGCGTGAACCACCTCGACTGTGAAGTCCTTACAGCCTGTGCCGCCGACACTGAAGGCGGGACCTCCCCGGGGACCCCCCCCCTCAACCCCGTCAGGGATGGGAAAAGGGGAGGGAATTGACTTAACTACGACGTTCCTTTCCTTGGAATTGGCGTCGACGACGAAGACGACGAAGACGACGACAGCGTCTCGCACACGCCGAAGCGCAGGCGGATTTATGTTGGGCTCCCGAATCGCCAACTCGATGGACTACCCCTGCAGTGTGCGCGAGGGATCGCGCCGTGCACTTGGATTTCCTTGTTCGCGAGCCTGGTCCTGGGCAACTTTGGCCTGCTGCGGCGCAGGAACTCTGCAGTGCCGGATCGGAAGGCGGTGCTGGATTCATGGTGTTTCGACGTGTCGATGCTGACCTGGTCGAGGAAGGTGATCATCGGGACGGTACTTGGCCCCGTTGCACTGTTGTAGGCTCGTGCTGATCTGTCGCACGAAGTGACGAGGTCGCCGTTGCCCCGCTGAGTCTGCAGCACACGCACTCGCCTCCCTCTGGGTGCGAGGCATCTGGCTCTCTCGGTCGAGCGCTGCCCCAGATCCGCCGACGCTGAGCCCCTGGGCCGGCGTGCGGGAGACGCTCGAGAGGCGTTCTTCCTCCAGGAGGCCGCGCCAGAGCGCGAAGAAAGCAGCTCCCGCGCGGCGCGCGGCGCGAGGTCGGGTGACCTTGGCGTTCCCGCGCGCCCATCGGCCTGGCCGTCCTCGCCATCGTCTTACTGGTCTTAGTCTGGCAGGCCATGGCTCGGCGGCGTGCCCCAGGGGGAAGTGGGACGGGGCGGGCTCTTCTCAGAAGGCTCGGAAGGTCCGAGAAGTACTCGAGTCCTTCTCCGAAGGCAGGGGCTGCTTCTCAGAAGGCTGGAAGGCTTCTGAGAAGCCTTGTCGCCTTCTGAGAAGGCCTGCCCCCTCTTCGGCGACTTGGATCCGTCACGTGATGCGAATCTGAGGAGAAGGAGGAGGACGAGGAGGAGGAGGAGGATGAGGAGGAGGACGAGAGAGGGGAGGAAGAGGAGGATCAGGTGGGGGGAGGGGACTTCGCATCAATCCCTCTGCCTACCTCCCACTTTCCCCCTGGGCTCGCCGTCGATGGTTGTTGGTCTTGCAGAGGGCAGCAGCACGATGGCCATGACCACGATGTCGCGGGATCCTGTCGACGCCGATCTTGGTCATGGACTATGCCGGCCGTCGTCGGTTCGCGGGGATGATCTGACAATTGTCAAGATGGGCGATGCCCAAGATCGACACTGACGTTTCTGGGTTCAGTCTTGGTCGTGTTCACAGCGGGCTAATTACGCAGAGTGTGTTGCGTATTTCCGACACCACTTGCGCCCCCACATGTGTGGAGTGGATCTGTGCCTCGACGTCCTCGACGTCCGTGATCAGGCACCCGGGACGCGGGCACAGCCCAGCAAATTTGAAAGGTTAATCGGGTGCACGGGCGAGCACGCAGCCAGCGATCGCATGCACTTGGCACCCCGGGTTGGGACTGGCTTCGGACGAGGCGCTCTAAAGCCCACTTCCGATCTTTCCAGAGACGATCGGGCGTACATTCACCCGTCAGGTGAATGTACGCTCTCAGTAGATCTCAGAGATCAGCTGAGAGAGAGGAAGCCCTGTCATCGGTCTACACATGGCGTCCTCGTGGGTCCCAGGGCGGTCCAGTCAATGTACGGTCCGGCGAGCTTGGCGCCACTTTGACGTGCTGGCAGGGAGCAGCAGTGAGGACGGAGGAGGGAGGTGGGAGGGAGGTGAGGAAGGAGTGGTGAGGTAGGAGGGCGAAGGACGGAGGGACGGGGGGAAGGGGAGCAGAGCGAGTCGCCGTCATCGTCCTCGGAGCCATCAGCGTCTCTAGCCGAGGTCAATGGTCAGCAGAAGCCCAACCGTCGCCGCCGCCTCCGCTGCTCGCTGCTGATCCCACCGATGGCCATGACGAAGAGCGAGCCTTTCTACCTGAACATTGTGGTTGTCGACAGCAGCGCCGCGGTCACCTCTCAAGTGCAGGGGAAGCTCGGGTCGGGGTTCTTCGGAAAGGCCGCCAGCACGATGGCCAAGAAGGTCGTGACGGAGTCCAAGATCGCGACCAAGGTGGCGGCGCAGCTCGTGGAGAAAATCCCCGCTGTGCTCGCCGAGAAGGGCATCACGCTGGAGTGCAAGGCGCGCTACCAGTTCGGCAGCTTCATCGTGCTGCGCGCCCAGGTGACCGAGGTCACACCTGTACAGCTCGTGACCCTCGCCAAAGGCGACGCCTTCGGCCAGAAGTTTGGGCAGATGCTCGAAAGTTTCGAGGCGCTCGAGCTGGCCGAGGCCCTCGACACCGTGCAGGCGAAGGTGAGGGACAAGGTGAACATTGCGCTCATCGAGAAATTGACGGAGATCCTGCCCGCGAAGTTGCAGGAGCAGGGTATCCAGACCACCATCTCCGCCAAGCCCACTCACGAGCAGGCGGAGTTTTTCTTCGATTTCATCGAGCGCATGCAGGGAGGCGAGGCTGGCGGCGATTCATGATTATTAATGCGGTGCGTTGTTCTGCACGGATGCGTAATCGAGTAGGCGACACGGATGATGATGGTGATGATGATGATGGTGATGATGATGGTGATGGTGATGGTGATGGTGATGGTGATGATGATGATGATGATGATGATGATGATGATGATGATGATGATGGTTGATGATGATGCCGATGTTGATGATGATGTTGTTGTTGATGTTGATGAGGTTGACGATGTTGTTACTGCTTCTGATGCTGATGCTGATACTGATGATGATGCTGATGCCGATGGCGATCCTGATGATGCTGATACTGATACTGATGATGATGACGATGACGATGACGATGATGATGATGGTGATGATGATGCTGCGGATGATGCTGATGATGCCGATGCTGCTGATGATGATGCTGATGATGCTGATGATGATTGAGCATTGCTGTTGATGCTGATGATATTTACGATGACGATGGCGACGGTGATCATTATCATGATGATGATGATGATGATGATGATGATGATGATGATGATGATGATGATGATGATGATGATGATGATGGTGATGATAATGATGATGGTGCTGATGCTGATGCTGATGATGATGATGATGATGACGACGATGCTGATGATGATGATGATGACGATGCTGAGGATGATGATAGTGATGGTGATGGTGAGTGTGATGAGGATGAGGATGATGATGAGGATGCTGTTGATGAGGATGACGAGGATGCGGAGGAGGAGGAGGAGGAGGAGGATTCAGGATGGCCAGAAGGAGCCCATAGTTTCCGAACACCTCGGTTCTCGATCTTCGAGAAGAAGGAGGGAGAGCAGGAGGAGGAGGAGGACCAGTGCAAACCCAAGAATCATCAACGATGTTGGAATAGACCCTCCCTCCAGGCTCCCTCGTCACAGGCCCCTACAACGGTTCATTTCCACTGGAGGAATTGCTTTGTTGGAAGACAATTGTTTGAAGATGTTTGAAGACCCCGAACAAAGCCAAAACATTATTCTCGGACTCCAACGCCACGGATCAACCTGACTGGTGCGTTTTGATTATCCTGAATCGTGCCAGAGCGCCATTCTTGGGACTTCAACAGCGCGAATCAACGTAATTGTGGCGCCCTCGCAACCCTGAACCTTTCCAGAACGCGATTTCTTGTACGCTGATCATGGGAACCCGTGAAACCCTTGCAAATGTTTACAACAACTGTGGCGCGGCGCGAAGGCGAGAGCCACATTTTGAAAAGGATCCGCCCCCAATCCGTCAAACTCTTGAAATTGTTGAGAATGAATGTGCACGGCGCTACGGCGAGAGCCACATTTTGAAAAGGAGCCGCCCTCAATCCGTGAAGCTCTTGCAAATGTTTAACACGAATGCGCGCGGCGCTAATGCGAGAGAGACATTTTGAAAACCACCCGCCCTCAATCTGTGAAGCTCTCGCAATGCTTTACAACGAATGCGCGCGGTGCTAAGGCGAGAGCTACATTTTGAAAACGACCAGCTCTCAATATGTGAAGCGTGCAATGTTTTACAACGACTGCGCGCGGCGCTAAGGCGAGAGCTACATTTTGAAAACGACCAGCTCTCAACATGTGAAGCGTGCAATTGTTTCAAACGAATGTGCCTGGCGCTACGTCGAGAGCCACAGTTTGAAAACCAGCCGCTCTCAGGGCCATAAGCGGTGAGGATGTCTCGGGCGAAACGCCTGGCCCGCCCTAAAAACAGGCCTCGGGGTGCGACAGAGAGAAGTTATTCCCCAATCAGAGCTTGCCTCTGTAGGGGTCTTAGCGGAGTCATATGGTTGGGTGAGGTACGGCGTCGATTTCGGCGGCACGCCCGGGCAGCCCTATAGCCCTACAGCTTTATAGCCTTATAGCCCTATAGCCCTAATAATAGCACTATAGCCCAATAGCCCTATAGCCCTATAGCCTTATAGCCTTATAGCCTATAACCCTATATCCCTATAGCTCTATAGCCTTATAGCCCTATACCTATACGACCGCCCTGCGGGCGATAAGGAGGTTGGGGGGGATTGAGATCAAATGCCCACCCTGACTGACCTCCAGCCTATCACCTTGATCTCATCTCTCTGGATGGGATGGGATGGGATAAGATGGAATTGGATGGGATTAGATGGGTTTGGTGGGGTAAGATGGATTGGATAAGATAAGATGGGTTGGATTGGAAGAGATGGATTGGATAAGATAAGATGGATTGGATTGGCCCGCCGCAGACGCAGAAACAAATGAATCGATGGATTGGGTTGAATGGATTGGACTGGGTGGGAGAAGATAAGGGGCAAGATGGGTTGGATAAGATAAGATGGATTGGATAGGACAAGACGGATTGGATAATATATAAGCTTGATTGGATAAGAAAGCCCGCCGCAGGCGCCGACAAAAATGAATTGATGGATTGGGTTGGGTGGATTGTATTGGATGGGATAAGATGGATTGGATAAGATAAGATGGGTTGGATTGGAAGAAATGTATTGGATAATATAAGATGGATTGGATTGGCCCGCCGCAGGCGCAGAAACAAATGAATGTTTGGATTGCGTTGGGTGGATTGGACTGGGTGGGATAAGATAAGATGGGACAATATGGGTTGGATAGATAAGATGGATTTCATTGGACAAGATGGATTGGATAAGATAAGTTGGATTGGATAAGAAATCCCGCCGCAGGCGCCGAAACAAATGAATTATGAATTTAGCGACATGCGTTAGCGCCGGGACGCCTGGGACACCCGGGACACCCGGGACACCGCCTGGCCCAATTGGGACATTTCCCGGCCACCGGCGGACGGGAAACGGACTTTCGCTCCTACTGACACCCGGGACACCCGGGACACCGCCCGGCCCAATTGGGACACCTCCCAGCCACCGGCGGACGGGAACGCACCTTCGCTCCTACTTCGGCCTAGCTACAGGAGGAGAGGATCACGCGCAGCTTCGCCTCGCCCGCACGCACGACACGAACACAAAACCGAAACCGATTTCCCAGTGGGGAGTCTCCGTTTCACTGCGATCTCACCCCCCAACCTCCGATAGTTCTACACCCCTATAGACCTATAGCCCTTTAGCCCTATAGCCCTAGAGCCCTACAGCCCTATAGCCCGATAGCCCTATAGCCTTATAATCTTATAGCCCTATAGCCCTAATAGCCCTATAGCCTTATAGCCATACAACCCTATAGCCCTCTAGCGCAATAGCCTGATAGCCCTATAGCCCAATAGCCCTACAGCCTGACAAGATTCTGATTGGGGCTTTTCTCCAGTATGACTTAGAAGGAAAAGGAGTGAAGGAGGAGGAGGAGGAGGAGGAGGAATAGGAGGAGAAGGAGGATGAGGAGGAGGCAGAGGAGGCGGAGGAGAAGGTGCTAAGGGAGGAGGAGGCGGAGGAGGAGGAGAGAAGGAGGAGGAGAAGGAGGCGGAGGAGGAGGAGGAAGAGGAGAAGGAGTAAAAGGAGGAGGAGGAGGAGAAGGAGTTAAAGGAGGAGGAGTTAAAGGAGGAGGAGTTAAAGGAGGAGGAGGAGGAGGAGGAGGAGTTAAAGGAGGAGGAGGAGGAGGAGGGGAGGAGGAAGTATTAGAGGAGGAGGAGGAGGAGGCGGAGGAGGAGGAGGGGGGAGGAGGAGGAGGACGAGGAGGACGAGGAGGAGGAGGAGGAGGAGGAGGAGGAGGAGGGAAGGAGGGGGGGGAGGAGGAGGAGGAGGAGGAGGAGGAGGGCGGAGGAGGAGGAGGAGGAGGAGTGAGGAGGGAAGGAGGAGGAGGAGGAGGACGAGGACAGGAGGAGGAGGACGAGGAGGACGAGGAGGAGGAGGAGGAGGAGGACGAGGAGGAGGAGGAGGAGGAGGAGGAGGAGGAGGAGGGAGGGAGGGGGGAGGGAGGGAGGGAGAAGAAGAAGAAGAAACACTCCCTTGGGGCCAAGTTCGTTCACCTACGACGGCTCAAAAAGGCCCAGAGACTATCCTTAAAATAGGATCCGAAACGCCTGGGACGCTGGTCCCAAGGCTAGACCGTATCCTGGTCCACTGCCCGAGACACCAGACGCGGGAACGAATGGCCCGTGTCCAGGCCCGCGGGAAAAACATCACCCTTGTCGGCGAACCATCTCCTGCACGTGCTTACTACGCACAAGAGCCTCCCACCTGACCGAATCTCTGTCGACCCCGAGGGACATCAAGTATCTCTCGACATCCCTGGAGCCCCTCGGAGCCTCACCTCCTCTACGCTGCAATTCTCGCTCAGCGATCCTACTCACCTCTGTCCCTACCTCCTGAGGGCCTAAGAACCTACTGGAACTCGACTGGGCAATCGTCGGGGGCGTGGAAATACTCCTCAAGGGCCTCTGGGTCTCCAAAGGTGTCTTCTGGGATCCACTGGTGGCAATCGGAGCACTGGGCGTAATACTCCTCAAGGGCCTCTGAGTCCCCGACGGTGCCCTCTGAGATCCACTGGTGGCAATCGGAGCACTAGGCGAAATACTCCTCAAGGGCCTCTGGGAACTCGGGGATAACCTCTGAGGTCTCGCAATCGGAGTACACGGCGAACTACTCCTCAAGAGCCTCTGGATCCTCGACGTACTTGCTAAGGTCGATGTCAACAGGCAAGCGGGTGGTGGTATCGATCGTGATGAGATGGATGCGTTCACTCTCTCGCGCCAAGCACTAGGTCGTGAAGGTACATTGCTTGACATTGCTGGCGAATCACTCGAAAAGGTTCCTGTCGTCACTCTCTGAGAATAAGGTGTAGCGGTATGTCGTGAACCCCCCTTCGATTCAGAGCCAATATCAAACTCCACCACTTCATTGAATAACGATGATCTCGCTCGCGTACTCGAATCTACGACAGAAAAGCTTCGAGCCACTCCTGCATCTCGCGCTCCATGTGCGTCGCTGGAGCCCTTCCCGATTTCAGCTCGCCCCCCAGCTGGACCAGCGCTCCGATGATCTCCTGGCGGCAGTCTCCCAGGCACAACATGATCCGCCTCTGTTGCTGGTTGTAGCACCTGTCGAGCTTCGTGAACTTGATGATGTCCATGCGCTCCTCGTAGTTCAACGTCCCGAGGCGCTGCTTGAACTCCTTCAGCTTCTCGTAGTTCGCCTTGCCGATGCTCTCCTGTCGGTTGAGAAGAGCCTCCAGCAGGCCCCCGAACACGTACAAGTGGGGCGCTCCAAGATTGTGTCCTTTTCGTTTCGCCTGCACCTGCTCGTTGTACTTGGCTCCTTGTTCGGCCATGCGAGTTACCTCTGGCATGTCCTGCGGCACGATGATCACGTCGAATAGGATGCCCTCCACCGTGCGGCGCGACCGCGCCAACTGCACGATCATCTTCATGATGAGCACCATCAGCGACTTGTTGGCGGCGTTGTAACCTGCGGCTGTCTTGGCGATCTTGGGCTGTTCGCCGTCTTCCACTCGGCGGCGCGATGTGCGCGAGTTCTCGGGCTTGACGGGGTCGCCGCCGAGGGTCAGGGCCATGGCGGTCCGCTTCGGCTGGGGCTGTGCGCTCAGCAGCTCGGACACGGACTCGAGGCGCTCTGGGCAGAGTGGCGACGGGAGGGGGAGGTAGGTGCTGTTCGACGGCATGTTCCAAGAGATCGTCCAACGTGTCGTGTTCCTCTCCGCACACCGGGCACGTGCACGATTTGGGTACCACTGGGCTCCACGGAAGAGGCTGTGCGGTTGAGACGACATCTACTGTTAAGCCAGGCCGTTCTCACATGTTGCCTAGCACTATCACGGGTCGAAAAACATCCTCGGCACCAGGGGCACACATTTGAGATCACGCACGAGAACAGTGGGTTAAGTTTCCCATGTTCCCCCCCTTTCGATCGTGACTGATGGGCAAATAAGGCACTACGTGTATCAAATACTTGAGAGCATATATTGTCGTGTTCGTCCTTAAGAGTACATACAAATCTACCAGGTTCCATTGAGTTGCCTCCATCTTCCTTCAGAGCCTGTGCGGGTCCCCTAAGGCGTGATAAGAATAGTTCCTCCCCATCATGTAATACAGCTGCTCGTAATAACTTAGCGTCTACTTTCAAGAAGGTCTCCCGAACTGCATCTTCCAAGGATAGGGCCCTCCAAGAATATCCCCAAGACTCCCAGGCCTCAAAGAAGTCCTCCGCTCCGCTGATGTGGGCGAAGGTCCAGATATCTTGTTCGATCTGCGTGGCGATGGGAGGTGCAGACTTCGTGAGCTTGCCATCTGCGTCCAAGCTCTCGGGTCCACTCTGTAGCGCACCCCATATCGCAGCAATCACCTGGCGGTGCGCGACGGCGTCCTTGGCCATCTGCTGCACCCACCCGAATCTCCTGGCCGCCTGCTCGAGGCGGATCGGCATAAGTCGCCACTTTCGGCGCAGCACTGCACTAGGTAGCGTGTGTGGGTGTTCTCCCTCCCAGTCCGTAGCCCTCCCTCGTTCCAGGACCCGAAGATATTTGTAAATCAAGATGTCCAGCTGATGTGTTTGGGCCGTTGAGAAAACATACGGCTCGTTGGCCGATAACGCTGCTTCCACCACATGGCCCCTAAAGGCCATCCTCTTGATACTCCGAGAAATCCGACTCGTCCAAAGTTTCCCCATCTTCCCCCAGCCGGCGTGGACCGCGGCGCTGCGGTACCGGAACTCCTCCATGCTAGAAAGGTTCCAGGCGTATCTGCTGCCCAGGTACCTTGCACGAGGTAGAGCTTTGCCACCTGCGAATTCCTTGGTGAAAATCTTGTTCGCTCGATGGCTTCTGAGGCTCGGGACGGTTTCTCGTTTGCTGTAATTTTGTATCAAACCCACCTCCTCCAACTCCTGATCCAAAGTCGCATCGCTCGAATCCAAAATCGTCTTAATCGTCTCGGGGCTCGTGTCAGTCATCGGCATCTTGTCAAATATGTCGTCGGCGTAGACCGTCGTCGCCCCACAGCAAGTACCCCCAAATATTCCGCATCTAAGATGTGTGACCTCCGAAGCCGTCGAACGCTTATCAATCCACTGTCGCATCGGCTGCTCCATCGCCTTCGCGAAAACTACGGGCTCCTCGCTGGATCCCATCAGACCCCCTCGTTGGTGTCGCACGGACAGGTTCTTGGGGTTCCTCCAGGGGTCCTCCGACGATTCCTCGAAGATCATGATAACACCCGAAGTCTCCGACCGTGTGTGCATGAGTGGTGCATCCGCATGATCGAATAGTTGATTAATGGCGTGTGTGCGTGCGCGTGCCGTCGTCGAAGCAAATGCGTTCGTCATATCGTGCAGGTTATTCAAGTGTGGTACTCTATGTGCGCGATACCTAAAGCCCATGCAAAGCTGTACTGCGATGACATCCTCCCGACGACGACGGGGAAGAAACCCATGGAACTCTGCTGGCCACCGAACTCCCTGGGTATACATGTTTTTTCTCAGCAGCCCCCCGTAGAATCCCTTCCAGTACGGACACATCACATTGATCAACCGTTTCGAAAGCGTTCCGACCTTCCCGTTAAACTTGGCAATAGGGATCGACCAGGCGAGGTTCCCCAAGATCGGAGTGCGGCCTATCATGCGATATGCTACATGTAGATCTTCAAGTATCTGTGCCGAAGTCGTCATTGTTGTCTTTCCTATCGGGATACAGCCCAGTCCTAGGTGTTCCTCTGGGCCCACGGAGAGGTACTTGGGGTCTGCGGCCATTAAGTGCAACTCTACTGGGAAACTCCACGGTGGTGCTGCTCTGCGCTTCTGGCTCTTACGAAGTTGACGAAGTGTCATCTGAAAATCGCGTCTTCCAAAGAACTCATGTCGTTCCTGCTCCTCAACTCCTGGCAGAGGTGGGGGCTGAAAGAAGAAGGACAGCGTGCGCTCCACGTCCATCGGAACAGCTTCCATACCTCCCCCCGCGGCAGAGAGGCTGAGCTGCTGGGTCCACTCCTCCTTCGTCTCGTAGGTCTGCAGCAGGTTGTAGCGTCTGCGTCGTGGTCCACCTTGCTTCGCTGCCAAGAGGAATAGTAACTTGTGTTCTTCGGCATGGCGTCGAGCTCGATGTGTCTCCTCGATCTCCCTTTCGAGCCTCCGTCGTGTGCGCTGCCAATGTGTCCGAGTTTCACGACGAAGGCGACGCTTGATATCCTGAAGTTCCTGCAACTCTGGATCATCCATTGGCGCAATCGTCACTGGCGAAATACTCCTCAAGGGCCTCTGATCCTGGCACTCTCTCTCTGCACAACGATCCGCCTCTCTGCTGGTTGTAGCACCCGTCGGAGCAGTGTTGGTTTCCGCGTCCATGCTCGTGGCGACGACTGAACCTAGGGGCTCGCCCCCAGGATTTGGCCAGTTTTTTCTGCTAGCGTCCAGCGACATTGGCGACGTATGAACCAAGGAAGATCCTTGGATTTGGTGTGAACTTGATGATGTCCTCTCGCTCCTCGTAGCTCCGTACTTGGCTCCTGCGCTCGCGTGAGTTACCTCTGGCATGTCCTGTGCGAATAACGATGATCTCTGCGTACTCGAATCTACTTTCGAAAAGCTCGCCGTCACTCTCTGAGAATAAGTGGAAGCTGAATGTTGTGAATCAATAAGCTGTAAGCCTTCTCGTAGTTCGCGTCGACGTCGTACCAGTTCCAGTCGACGTCTGCGAAGCGCGACCAGTTCGGGGTCGGGTGGTCTTCGAACGAGTTGGAAGTGTTTCAACCAGTGTCGCTCACGGTCTGCGTCCACAACTTCCACGCCGCATCAACATGGCCCGACTGGACCAGGGGTGAAGTCTGTGGCAAGATCCGCTGCATCACCTGCTCGAGCTCCTCCAGAAAGGGTGTCCTTCCGTGGCCCCGCTGCACAGCCGCGGCAAGTTTGTCTCGATCCCATCTTGGTCGTGCATCTTGTTGGTCTTCATATCGGCGATACACTGTAAGTCGTAAAAGAATGGGCACATGATCTCTCGGCGTTCGGCTCGGTATCATCTGTAAGCGTCGCGCCTGCGGCCAGAGCACCCGACATGACTGGACCTGCTCTCGAACCGCAAGTGGAACGAAGATGTGATCAATGGTGCTGCTGTTTAATTCATTCCCATAATAAGCCGGGCCTCCAAACTTGTCCGCTGTAACCGTGTCATACATCTCCAAGGACCCCAAAATCTCATCCTGAATCATGTTACCGACGATGCTCTGTTCACCTATGTTATACGGGCCCGCCAAGAGCCGCTCCTCCTCCCACCAGTCGTACTGTGTTGTGGGTGCTACTGTATGTAGGCCTCCGCGAAGCCCCATCGGCGTGTTGAAATCTCCCAAGAGAATCGGAGTTGACCTAGTAGGGACCGCTTTGAGCTCCTTGTTGGCCCACTGGAGTAGCTGCGTCGAGCCCTTCTCGAGGGCCCTCCTTTTCTTAGCCGATTCATCACTCAACGGTGGCATGTATATCGTTATGATGCTTAAGTCCACGCTCTGATTTCGCAGCCTAATCGCTAAGCCCATTCCCTGCATCGACGATGGTGGTGTCGTAATTGCTCTCAAATGTTTAGCTCTGAAGATGCCTCCGAACATGATGGTACACCCCGCATGCTTATTCGTGTATGGGCCCTTGTCCCAGCCCGCGTGGAGCGCCATGGCCCCCTTCCCAAGAGACATTCTGCTTACTGGAATCCCCGAACATGCCCTCAGTCTAGTCCCTGGTAATACTACAACATCTGCTCGTAAAGTGTGCCAGATATCTGTGATCCGCTGCGGTTCGATCAGCGACATCGGGTTGTACAAGCTTACCCTCAGCGCGGAAACCCGCGCTGCCGCGGGCCTGGCAGGCGCACCCGACGCTCGCGCCAGCATCCCAGGCGCTGAAGCTCCTGGCGGGCCGAGCGCGCGAGGAGAATGGAGGGTTCGGTAGGCTAGTGGAGGCTGCGTGCGGGGCGGGAATTCCCTCGAGCAGCTGGGAGGGAGGGAGGGAGGGAGTGAGGGGGGGGAGGGAAGGAGGGAGGGAGGGAGGGAGGGAGGGAGGGGGGGGAGGGAAGGAGGGAGGGAGGGAGGGAGGGAGGAGGAGGAGGAGGAGGATGAGTTTAGGGAGGATGAATCTGAAAAGTAGCCTCTGCGGCTCTGGTGCAGAAGTCCGCGCCAGCGGCTGGCAGATGTTTTTCCACCCGCTCGCGGGTCAAGTGCGCTCTCTGGGCCGGCGCGGTGGCGGCCAGGTCGTGGCCTGGGGACGTCAGTGCACGGAGAGGAGGAGCACCAAGGCGGAGAGAGGACGGAGAAGTCAGAGGAGCTGGAAGGAGGAGAACGAGGAGGGATGACGAGGAGGCAGAGGTGGATGATGATGATGATGATGATGATGATGATGATGATGATGATGATGATGATGATGATGGTGCTGATGCTGATGCTGATGCTGATGCTGATGCTGATGCTGATGCTGATGCTGATGCGATTTTATGATGGTGATGCTGATGCCGATGCCGATGCTGATGCCGATGATGATGATGATGATGATGATGATGATGCTGATGATGATGGTGAGGAGTGTGGTGATGCTGGTGATGGTGACTATGCTGATAATGATGACGATGATGGTGATGGTGATGATGATGATGACGATGAAGATGATGAGGATGACGATGACGATGACGATGACGATGATGATGATGATGATGATGATGATGATGATGGTGATGCTGATGATGATGATGATGATGGTGTTGGTGCTGATGATGGTGGTGATGATGATGCTGATGATAGTGCTGATGGTGGTGGTGATCATAATGACGGTGATCATGATGATGATGACGATGATGATGGTGACGACAATGATGATACTGATGATGACGATGATGATGATGATGAGGATGATGATGACGATGAACATGACGGTGATAATGATTATGCTGTTGATGATGATGTTGATGATGATGAATATGATAATGATGCTGCTGATGATGAAGATGGTGGTGGTGGTGTTGGTGATGGTGAGGATGATGATGATGCTAATGATGCTACTCGTGATGATGCTGATGGTGATGCTGATGCAGATGCTGATGATGAGCAGGAGGATGAGGATGAAGAGGATGGGGATTGGAATCATGATGATCATGATGCCACATATTATGATAATGCTGATGGTGCGTACGATGATGGGGATGATGCTGGCGAAGATGACAGTGATGGTGTTGGTGATCGTGAGGATGGTAATGGTGGTGGTGATAATTCCATGGTGTTGGTGCTGATGGCGAAGAGGACGGTGATGGTGATGATGAGGAGGAGGATGAAAAGGACGAGGAGGAGGAATACGAGTGGGCGGAAATGGAGGAACGAGGAGGCGGAGGAGGGGCAGAAATGATGATAAGATGATGGTGGTGGTGGTGGCGGTGATGATGATGACGACGACGATACGATGATGATGATGATGATGATGATGATGATGATGATGATGGTGATGGTGTGATGGTGATGGTGATGGTGGTGATGGTGATGGTGATGATGATGATGATGATGATGATGATGATGATGATGCTGATGCTGATGCTGATGCCGATGCCGATGCTGATGCTGATGCTGATGCTGATGATGCTGATGCTGGTGGTGGGTGGTGGTGATGGTGATGGTGATGGTGATGGTGTGATGGTGATGGTGATGATGATGATGATGATGAGGAGGAGGAGGAGGAGGAGGGGGAGGAGGAGGGCGACGGAGGGAGGAGGAGGAGGAGAGTGAAGATGAGGATGAGGATGAGGATGATGGTTGAGGATCGGGCGGGTGGCTTGTCACCTGACCTACTAAATGGGGGGTGAAGAAAACTGCCCTGAGGGGAGCCCGCAGGGGGCAACAAGTGCATCTTTGGGCCCTTTTCTTCATCCCCCCATTTAGGTCACCCCCCATTACCACCCGCCAGAGAGGAAGAGAAGGAGGAGGAGGAGGAGGAGGAGGAGGAGGAGCAAGGGGATGAGGAGGAGGAGGAGGAGAAGGTGGAGGTGGAGGGGGAGGAGGCGGAGGAGGAGGAGGAGCAGGAGCAAGAGCAGGAGCAGGAGGAGGAGGAGGCGGAGGAGGAGGAGGCGGAAGAGGAGGAGGAGGCGGAGGAGGAGGAGGAGGTGCGGAGCTTTCGAGCAGCTGACCAAGGAAATGGCTCGCTGGGCCGGCCTGTAGGAAACCTCGATGGCTGACAGGAGAATTCCAGCGCGATCTGGAGCCCAGTGCTACGCTAGAAGAGGAGGGGGTCTCCCCTTGGGTCGTCGGGCTCTGGCGCGGTCCACCGCAATTTCGAATCCATGGCGCGGGTTTTTGCGAGGAAGTCTCGAAGGTGACCTCCAGTCAAAGGTGCGACGTTTTTCCCCAATCAGAGCTTGCCCCTGTAGGGGTCCTAGCGGATTTAAGCGTAGGTGAGGTGTGCCGCCGATTCGGTGGCCGGGCCCAGGTGCCCGGGTGCCCGGGTGCCCGGGTTCGCCGCTGATTCGGTGGCCGGGCCCAGGTGCCCGGGTGCCCGGTGCCCGGGTAGGTGCCCGGGTGCCGGGTGCCCGGGTGCCGGGTGCCTTGTAGCCCTATAGCCTTATACCCTATATCACTATCGCTCTGTAGCCCTGTAGCCCTATAACCCATATAGCCCTATAGCCATATAGTCCATGTAGCGCCCAAGAGCCCATATAGCCCTATACCCCTACAGCCCTAAAAAGATTATGATTGGGTTTTTTCTCTGGTATCATTGTTTCTTGTTTTCTTTGTGCGAGGACGTCTCCAACGGGAAACACCTACCTGGGCGCGGCGGCGGAAATCAGGCGAGACGCGGTGCGTCGGCTAATTACGTGGTAACCAACAAGTCCGAGGCCAGAACGCCCATCCCCAGCACGAAAGCATTTTCCTCTCAGGCCTGGAACGACGGTTTGAAGTCCTGAGATAACCGCCGTCGGACTCAATTCAGTTCGCGCGGATCCAATTCTGGTTTTGATTCATGTTTCGGTGGGTCCGATTTCCGCCCGCGCGGATCAGATATCGGATTCGTTGGATCCGCGTCCGGTCCTATTTTTGTTTGCGGATCCGATTTCTTCTGTTTAACATACATCTTGCTTTTCATATATATATATATATATATATATATATATATATATATATCGGGCCGGGGACGCGGGACTCCCCCCCCTTTTCTAACGAATTTGGCCCTCCCCGGGCCTCCGGGCAACCCACTAGACGACCCGGCAGAACCTCGCGAGAGCCCGAAGACGGCCCCAGACGGGTTCCAGGCGTTCCGGCGCGCTCTCGAAACGACCCCAGAGAGCCCCAATGCGGTCCACGACGACCCCAAAGAAGCCGTCATACCTTTAAAGATCGCTCCCAAACGTCCCAAGACGCCTCCAAGAGCACTCCCAAGAAGGCCTCAAGAGGCAAAAGTCAGATTGATTTTAAGTTAGTTTTTGATGAACTTTGGGGTTCTCCCCTTTTCGTCTTCCCTACGCTCCAAGACGGCGGTCTTCTCGGCGTTCGAAGCCGCCTGGGAGGCTCCAAAATCGCCCCACAACTATCCGAAAGGGCTTCGAGGCAGTCCAAGAGAGCCCCAAAACGGCACAACAGGGGTCCAAGATGGCCCTGAGAGAACCCCATGGCGGCCCAAGATGGCCCCGAGACACCCTCCGAAGCATTCCAAATCGTGACCAGGTCGTTCAGGGAGACCGCGGTTGGAGGCAAGGTGGCCCGAGGAAGCCCCCAGAGGCCAGAACACGCCCAGGAGGCTTCCAGAAGGCTTTCAGAAAGCTTGAAAACTTGTGCGAAGCCCCCAGAGGCAGGCCCTCCAAGGAGGAGCCTTCGCAAAAAGAGCTGAGGAGGATGGGAGAATGCGCAGGGTATGGCGAGAATGAGGGAAAAGAAGCATGGAGGAAGGGTCACGAATAACATTATGATAACGACGATACCCGAAAAGGCAACAAGGAGTTATCGCTAAATTGTCGGCTTGACCTTCCTGCCATTCCGCCTGCATACCAAACTTCAAGGATCAAATTGTATGGCGCGAATTGCCACTGCAGTCTTGTATACATAAGTATACATACATACATACATACATACATGCATGCATGCATGCATGCATACATACATACACATGTACATACATGCATACCTACATACATACGTGCATGCATACATACATATACACATACACATATACATACATACATACATACATACATACATACATACATACATACATACATACATACATACATACATACATACATACATGCATACACAGACAGACAGACAGACAGACAGACAGACAGACTGACCTATCTACCTACCTACCTACATACATACATACATACACACATACCTACATACCTACCTACATACCTACATACCTACATACCCACATACCTACATACCTACATACCCACATACCTACATATCTACATACCTACATACCTACATACATACATACATACATACATACATACATACAGGCATACATACATATAAGCAAACCGGGAACCATATTAAATCGGCTCAATGGGCCCTGGGACCCGCCCGCGTTGAGATCATGCGGGGGAGGGGGGTCAGTCATTAATTTCCCCTGATGGGCCTTTGGCTCTCTCGCGCACTCCCATCAGCTTTCCGCGCGCTTCCCATTCAACATGAATGCATTTCTCTCCCCCCGCTTGCTGCAGACGTCCAGACGCCGTCCGTTCGGCGGCGCCGATGTTATCTCGCGAACTCCTAGCTTGCGTTGTGCGTAAGTACGACTATTGCGCTGCAGCGCCAGAGGTCTCGCGCAGCACAGTGGCTTTGCGAAGTCCTGACGGCCGGTGCTTTTGACCCTGAAGGGGGACGACGACTACAACGGCGGCGGCGGCGACGACGACGACGACGCTGACGTGCGCCAGAGAGGTGCTTCTTGGGGTCTCTTCGGAGCCTCTTGTGGGCCTTTTGGGACCCGTTGGGGGCCTCTTCGGGTTTGGTGGGGACCTCCTGTGGGCCTCCAGGGCCTCCTGGGGCTCTTGGCCTCATGGGAGCCTCTCGGGGCCGAGGGCTCGAAATGTTCGTTCGGGTCCCCCGTTTCGGCGCGTTTTTGGAACCGTCTTGACTCTTGGGCCGTTTTGGTGGCGTTGTGGGGTGTATGGGGGTCGTCGTGGGCTTTTGGAGGCCTCTTGGGGCGACTTTGGGGGCCTCTTAGACCGTCTTGGAGCGGCGGGCATCGGAAAAGGCGAGAACACCCAAATCTTGTTCAAACTTACAAGGGACTTCATGAATTTTGCTTCGCGAGGCTCTTTTCGGGAGTGCTCTTGGGGGTTTCTTGGGACGTTTTGGCGGCCCCCTGGGCAGTCTGGAGGGCGTGAAGGCGCTTGGGACCGATAGTTTGGCCATTGGGGGCCCTCTTGGACGGTCTCGGGGACCCCTTTGGGCACTCTTGGCTTGTCTTGGTAGTTTCTGAGGCCCCGGGACCCCAGGGCGGAATCCGTATCTGACCCCCGCCCCCCGGACCATCCCCCGCACCCCCCCCCCGGACGCGACCACGTGTTTGTGTAACCCGTCGGGTGTTTGCGTGGCCCGTTGCGTGTTTTTGTGGCCCGGCGCGCGGCCAGATGCGTGTTATTATTGGGGCCCGCGTTGGCCCATCAAGTAAAAGTAACATGTAAAGGCTTCTCATCTTCGTTGAAAAACCTTGTTGTTCGGGGAACTCTGAAGGGATTACATTCTCGCCCCCCAAAAAATAGCTACATAATCTCTGATGTTGGTGCGAGTACTTGCAAGGAAGGTACTAAGGTTTTTGACCGTCGGCTGACAAGAATCAGAAGGCGCCGCATGCCGCCGATGACCGGTTCAAGACGCAAACGTGACCCCATCTGCAATTTAGAAGCCTTCGTGAAATATCTGGGGAAGCTGCAGCCGAAGCAAGGGCGACTGCGTTGGATAAGGGTGTCCAGGGTCACTCGGCCTCAACGTGCAAACGAACACATTGTATCAACACAGCATTGCGGGCATGACGACGACGATGACGCAGATGATGAAGAAGCCGACTGTGACGACCACACGGAGTGAATAGGGTGTAAGTCGGGCCAGAAAGGAGTGATTTCCCATCCCATGTTTTGTGGGGCGGAGTGATAATCACCTTGTTTTAATTAATTAATTATATATATATATATATATATATATATGTGTGTGTGGTCACCCCCCCTCCCATGACCTACCTTTCGGCGCTGAGGGTGAATCTTGGCTCCAACGATCTACCTTTCGGCGCTGTGGGTGAATCGCGGGTGGAGGGAAGCCCGAGTGGATGGAGGCCAGCACAGGGGGAACCGGGGGGGCGGAAAAACCAAAAAACAAATCTCCAGGAAAACCAAGGAGCCACAACAAAAACCATTCTATATACATTACAAACAAGGATCTTGGCGTCGGCGGGGGGCCGAAAAATATGGGAGTCGGCGGGGGGCCGACGCCCAGATCCTTTGGTTTTTTGGTTTTCCCTTTTTTATAATGAGAAAGAGGGTGTGCTATGGTTTCTTTGGTTCTCCTTGTGTTTTTTCTGGTTTCCGGAAGGGTGGAAGGAGGAGGACGAGGAGCGTAATGCTTCCCAGTGGGGCGTAAGGCTCAGAAAGCACCCAGGGCGTGAGGCTCAGACTGAAGAGTGCAACGCTCGGAGCGTAAAGCTCTCCATAAGGGCGTAAGGCTCAGAATGCATGTCGGGCGTAAGGCTCATGCTGCCGAGTGCAACACTCGGAGCGTAACGCTCGTCATACGAGGCGTAAGGCTCAGAATACATGTCGGGCGTAAGGCTCATGCAGTCGAGTGGGCGAGCGCCAACTGGGGAGGAGGAGGAGGAGGAGGAGGAAGAGGAGGAGGAGGAGGAGGAGGAGGAGGATGGAGGGGGGAGACTCAGGCTCAAGCCAACCGGGCAACCTGCCAAGCTCCAACACCTTGCTGCCATGGAATTCCTGCTGGAGGCCGCTTCCTGCAAGTCCCAGTCGCATGGGAAGGCTCTCTCTGGTGCACTCAACGCCGACATGACGTTCAGCCGCCCCGCCGGGATGCTTGCGTTGGACGGCGTGTCTGGGATGGCCGACATTGGCATCGAACTGGCAACGTTTACACGAGAGCTATGGGACAACATCCGCCACGCCTTCACTGTGCGCAATACGCGCGTGTCTCCGTACCCGAAAGAATATGGCGACAAGGAACTGCGGGCGAAGCTCGGCGACGTTTGCAAGCCTTACCAGTTGCAGGCCGGTAACTGGCTGAACTGCTTAATCGGCGCCTCCGTTTTGAAACGCAAAGAATCCAGATCAACCACAATGGCTTGCGTTTCGCTTCTGGGGAGGAAGATGACCACGGCAGTTTTGGGCGACTGCAAGATATTCTTCTTTCGCCAGAACTGGACCAGGCGCCCGCTGCCCAACCGGCTGTTCATGCGCCAAGAGGAGTCTTTCACCGACATTCCACATGTGGCCAGCTTGCTGTCGAGATGCGACGCAGACACCCAGCCTGTCGAAGACGGCGACATCATCGTGGTGGGGTCGGACGGGTTGTGGGGGAACCTCCCTGGCAGCGTCATCCAATGTATCATCCGCGACTCCGCGCGCACTTACGACCCGCGCGTGATGGCCAAGAGCTTGCTTGACGAGGCCCTGGCGGCGCGGCACAAGGAAGATGGCGTTGCCTGCTGCGTTGCGATCGTGTGTCCCGCGCCTTCCGTGTAGAACAGCTGAAAGCTTGCTCGTGGAACATTATGGCTTTTTGAACGCGCAGAGGAAACAAACTGATGATCCTGAGATATTTCTCCCTCTCTCTCTGCTTCCCTTAGGCCAAGGGCGTCGCGGCCGCGGTGGGCCACGTTCTTTAGGTACAGCGATGCGCATCTGAGCTCATCTTGGCTTCGGTCCCCAAAGAGACACAAAAGTCTGATAACTTTATGTTGGATTTGTGAAGTTGCCTCTTTGCCCCTCGCGGCCCTTACCAGCGCAGGTCCGCGGCCGCGGCGGGTCGCATTCTTTAGGCGCAGGGATGCGCGTCTTACCTTAGCTTGGCTTCGGTCCCCGAAGAGACGCAAAGGTCTGATAATTTCTTGTTGGAGTTCTGAATTTGCCACTATACCCCTCGCGGCCCTTACCGGCGCAGGTGCACGGCCGTGGCGGGCCGCGTTTTTTAGGCGCAGGGATGCGGGCTTCTGCTCATATTGGCTTCGGTACCCAAATAGAAAAAGGTCGGACCACTTTATGTTGGATTTGGGAAGTTGCCTCTTTACCCCTCGCGGCCCTTGCCGACGCAGGTCCGCGGCCGCGGTGGGTCGCATTCTTTAGGCGCAGGGATGCACATCTTAGCTCATGTTGGCTTCGGTCCCCACACAGACACAAAAGTCTGACAACTTTATGTTGGATTTTTGAATTTGCCCCTTTACCCCTCGCGGCTTTTGCCGGCGCAGGTTCACGGCCGTGGTGGGCCGCACTCTTTAGGCACAGGGATACACATCTTAGCTTATCTTGGTTTCGGTGCTAGTAGTCATAGTCCTTTTCATCATCGTGATCACCCTCTTGCGTCTCAAGCGAGGTCGGAGGGGTTTGTCCGATCGCACCTGGGGCCTATCGCTCTGCATCTTAGTGGAAGCACATGGGTGACGAGCACCTGAAGAACCGCAACCTGCTGCTCCACGCGGATGGGGCCCGCGCGCATAAGTTACGCATCCCTGGAGTTCTTCACGACGATGTCGCGCGCGTGAAAAAGAAAGTGGCCAAGCAGGGGTCGACGATTTGGATCCAATCGAAATTCTCGAATATGGTGAACCACGAGTTCCCCAGCGGCGAGACGGTGCGCGTGAAGTCAGGAACCCAGATCATGAATAGGTTCTGGTCTCACTTGCGCACGCACTTCGGCAAGCGCACGCGTAGAGTGGATACGATCGCGATGCGGCGCCGAGTGCGGTCTGCGCAGTGGACGCACTGGAACAAAGGGAGGGACCTGTGGGCTCGCACAGGTGACATGTTGCAAGAGCTCTACTGAGCCGCTGGGGAGATTGTGACATGTGAAGTGTTCTTTGTGGCTTGGAAGGCAGACAAAAAAGGTACGAGCCCTTGGGTTCCGATCCGCAGCCGGACCAGAAACCGTTCGCTGAGATTCTACAGGGGGCGGGGGGTCTCGGCGGATGCCATGCTACGGTCAAATAGATGGTACCCCCCGTGTAGTAATAGTAGTAGTAGTAGTAGTAGTAGTAGTAGTAGTAGTAGTAGTAGTAGTAGTACTAGTACTAGTAGTAGTACTAGTACTAAGTAGTAGTAGTAGTAGTAGTAGTAGTACTAGTACTAGTACTAGTAGTACTAGTAGTAGTACTAGTAGTACTAGTAGTAGTAGTAGTAGTAGTAGTAGTAGTAGTAGTAGTAGTAGTAGTAGTAGTAGTAGTAGTACTAGTAGTAGTAGTAGTAGTAGTAGTAGTAGTAGTAGTACTAGTAGTAGTAGTACTAGTAGTAGTAGTAGTAGTAGTACTAGTAGTACTAGTAGTACTAGTAGTAGTAGTTACTAGTAGTACTTAGTAGTAGTAGTACTAGTACTACTAGTAGTACTACTAGTAGTACTAGTAGTAGTAGTACTAGTAGTACTAGTAGTAGTAGTAGTAGTAGTAGTAGTAGTAGTAGTAGTAGTAGTAGTAGTAGTAGTAGTAGTAACAGTAGTAGTGTAGTAGTAATAGGAGTAGGAGTAGGAGTAGGAGTAGGAGTAGGAGTAGGAGTCAAGCTAGCCAGCTCGAGCGAGTCAAGCATGGCATGCCCAGTCCCACCCGCCCTCCCACAACATAAGAAGCAAAGCTGGCACAACTGGGGGCCGAAGTCACACCGGCCAGCCGGTTTGGTACAGCTGATGCGGCCGCGATGGCGGTTGCCGACGGGAACTGGCGAGCGCGTGTTGAATGCCGCGCACGCATTGCCAGACGAGTCGAGAATGGCCCGGTACACCGCAGGAAGCCAGAGGTGGCCGGAGGAAGCCCGACGGTCTGACAGGACACCCCAAAGCATTTTTGTGAAAAAGCATTGGGTTTTTGATGTTTTTATGTTGAAATGCTTGCAAACACACGGTGTTCGGTAGGATTCTGACATGAACGCGCGAGTGTGCTCTTTGTGGTATTTTTTGCACAGGATTCGCGGCCTGGGTGCATGACAGAGCATCGCGAGTGCACCGCGCGATGACGTGAAATCGCTGGATTTGACCGAATTCTTAAGATTCCTATGGTTTTCCTATGATTTCAGCAAGAGAGCCCGGGCGGGAAATTTGTACAATTTTTGTGAAAA